ACAGCTTAGCTGAGCTTCCTCTTTTCTTTACCGACTTCTCTCCTTCCTTTTCTCATACCCATGCTTTAGAAATGTGGCTAGAATATTAAATACCCAGCCCGTAAATTATCATTCTGAGGGAAAAATAAAATAGTCTCAGATACAGTGAGAGGAGAGTAAAAAAAAAAAAATCACCCCACATCACATCAGAGCAAAATGAAAAGAAGGTGAACAGCAACATGAAAGGTGCAACAGCAAAAATAAACAAAATAAGGAGAAAGAAAGAAATACGCTCTTTAAAAGACAAAATAACTCAACCTGGAATATAAATCAAGGAACAAAGAGAAATTCCTCACAACATAGAACAACACAAGCTCATAAATTCATTAAAATAAGAACTCAATCAGATTATAAAACAATAGAAAGATGAAAAGGGAGATTATAGCCCTAGGAAACAAACTGAATACCTACACAATATCAGCATACAGCTAATAAATTAAAATGGTAAGAGACAGGACAGACACAGATGAAAACCGAATCACTGGCTTAAGATAATCACAAGTAAATATAAAGAAAAAGAAGAAATTACAGCAGAGGAGAGTTAATAGATATGGAAGACAAAAATGATTCAACATATCAATATTTGGTGTCCTGAAGAAGAGAATCTAACAAATGGAACAGGAAATGTATTCAGAGATACAAGAAAGTTTCCCTGATATAGAAAAAATAAAATCCTCAGATTAAAAGATTTAAATAGCATTTGGGGTGCTTTTTCTAATTCTATTAATTTTTCTACACTGTTTAAATTTTTTTGTAAAGAGCATGTATTTTTTACAATAATTTTCTTTTTCAAAAGGCTGGGTGCCTTCAAAGACTTTGGGCAGCCACACACCTTTTTTTTTTTTAAGTATGCTTTTTGGTGGGGAAGATTGGCCCTGAGCCAACATCTGTTGCCAATCTTCATTTTTTTTTTTCTCCCCAAAGCCCCAGTCCATAGTTGTATACCCTAGCTCTTCTCTGTGGGACACCACCTCAGCATGGCTTGATGAGCAGTGTGTAGGTCTGCACCCAGGACCCGAACTGGTGAACCCCAGGCTGCCGAAGCAGAGCACACAAATTTAACCAGCCACGGGGCTGGCCCCCCTACAATAATTTTTACAGTGAATTTTCATTAAAAAGTCGGAAAACAAAAATGCTAATATGCTAACAGTTAATTTGGGTGGTAGAAATACATAGAATTGCTGTTTTCTTCTTTGTACTTTCCCACATTTTTTTCATTTCTAAAAATTAAAACAAATTTTGAAAAAGAAGAAAATAAGCCAAAACATTAAATAGTAACTACCTTTGGGTAAGAGGATTTGATAAAATTAAAAAAAATTTTATGTGTATCGTCCAGGCTTATTACAATGAAAATGGATTACTATTACAAAGACATCTCTTCCCTCCAAAAAATATCTTTAAAAAACGGTAGATAGAAAGAAAGGACTTTTCAGATAGTTTAACATTATTAACAAAAAAGAGAGACAGACAAAGAACAAGGAGAGACAACAAGATCTGCTCTGTAGACGCAGGGCTCGGCAGTAGAGGGTTGAGTAGGGCAAGGAGTTAAGGATTCAGCTGGAGAGACGGACTGAAGTCAGACTGTGAGGGCGCTGAATGGCAGGCTGAGGAGCTCATGTCTTGGTAGCAAAAACAACCAAGAATTTTGGGGGGAAGGAGGCCGGGTACCTCCTGGTCTTTCCACACCCTCAGATTTCTTGGATAGTGGTTCCACACAATGTTTTATTTCACATTTTTACTCTTTCCCACCGTCTGCAAAAACCTACACAAGTAAAAGTTACCAAATAATTGAGAAGACGGACAGTGAAGAGAAATTTGTCTTTAAGAGAATCCACCATTTATGTCCTTTGTTTAAAGATAAGGAAGGAGACAAACGGGATTGTTGAATGTTTGAAGGGAACAGGTCATTTCCAATAATCACCACTATTACCTTTTAATTTATCTTTAATACTTTCTGATAAATGTTTTGTGAGCTGAGGCGTTTCTTCTGGAGAGTACTCAGCATTTGCCAGTTCCTCCTTGAGCACAGCATGGATACAGTCTTTAACCACGGAGGGTCGGAACCTAAATGAAACAGTTCAACGAAACAGTTCAAAACATCTAATTGGTAACTCTAAAACCAAATTACCTTCACAGCTCAACATCCCCCAGCTTTTCATTATTAGAACCATTTAATCCTTCTTTTTCACTTTTTTTATTATAAAAGTAATAAAAGCAAATTAAGAGAACAAGTCATATTCAAAATTTATATCTCCAGCCTGGACCTCTCCCCCGAACTACAGGCCACATATTCCAAAACATATTCCATCTGGATGTCTAGAGGCAACTCAAATTTAATACATCCAACACAGAGCTTCTGATCATCTCTTCTCCCCAAACTAGGTCCTCCTGCAGTCGTCCCCATCTCAGTCAACGGTTACTCCATTCTTCCAGTTGCTCAAGCCAAAAGCCTTGGCCTCAGTCTTGTTGCCTTCCTCTCTCACAGCCCACAGCCCATTCATGAGCAAACCTTATCAGTTCTACCTTCAAAATAATCTAAAATTCAATCACTCTCACCACCCCACTGCCACCACCTTGCCCCGAGCTACCATTACTCTTGCCAGCATTACAATGCCCTCCTAACAAGTCTCTCTGTGCCTGCCTTTGCCCCCAAATCCCGTTCTCAACACAGCAACTAGACTGGTCCTCTTGGTCCTATCCATGTCAGATCATGACTCTCCTCTATTCAAAATACCCCAAATATTTCCCACCTCACTCAGAGTAAAAGCAACACCCCAACTGTGACTTGCCATGTCCCATAAGGTCTACCCTACCAAACTCCCTGACTGTGTTTTCTACTACTTTCCCCCTAGTCCTCTCCACTCAGCCCACACTGGCTTTCCCTGTGTTCTTTGATCGCACCAGGCACGCAAACCTCAGTGCTTCTGCACTTGCTGTTAACCTGCGCCTGAAGTTCAGTTCCTCCCGTTATATGCAGAGCTAGCTCCCTCACTTCTTTCAAGTCTTTATTCAAAAGTGACTCTCCCTAGCCACCCTCTCTAAAACTTCAAGCTACCCTCCTACCTCATCACTTTATACCTCCCTTCTGAGGACTTATTGCTCTCCGATACACTATATAGGTCACTTATGCCTTCATCTTGTTTGTTGCCCTTCTACCAGCTAGAATGAAGTTCCAAGAGGGCAGGGATCTTTGTCTGTTTTGTTCACTGTTATAGCCCCATTTCCTAGAACAGTACCCAGCACATAGCTGACAATATTTTTTTAAGGAATGAATTATTGAACAAATGAAGACAGGAAAAAAAAGTTTCCCCTGGGGCAGGCCCCGTGGCCAAGTGGTTAATTAAGCTCCCGCGCTCCGCTTCGGCAGCCCAAGGTTTCACCGGTTCGGATCCTGGGCGCGGACATGGCACCAGTCATCAGGCCATGCTGAGGTGGCATCCCACATGCCACAATTAGAAGGACCCTCAACTACAAATGCACAACTATGTACCAGGGGGATTTGGGTAGAAAAAGGAAAAATAAAAATCTTTAAAAGAGTCTCCCCTAATTTCACCACCCTAACAATACCATTAGCATTTTCGTTGTATTGATCATATATTACAACTTAGGTTCCTTTTCTGGGCTATATATTCTATCTATGTCTATATATTATATATTATATCTATATATATGATTTGTCTATCATGTGCCATGTTAACAATGTTTTAAGTTTTGAGCTTATAATGTGGTGCAATATTTGGTAGTATTAGTGGCCCTGTATTACTTTTTAACAGTATTTTCTTTGCTTTCTTGCCTGCTTATTCTCACAGATAAACTTCTAAATCATTGACAAATTTCCACGATTTGATCTGTTCAAAATGTGGTCTTCCTATTAACAAACATACAATATCTGATTCTTCCCTTAAGCCTTTTCCATTCTCAGTAAAACGTTAATAAAATTTTTCTTCAGGGGCCACCCCATGGTGCAGTGGTTAAGTTCAGCACCCTCTGCTTTGGAGGCCCAGGTTCATGGGTTTGGCTCCCAGATCCCAGGTGCACACCTATACCAATCATCAGCCATGCTCTGGCAGCGACCCACATCTTAAAAAAAGGGTACTGGCAACAGATGTTAGCTCAGGGCGAATCTTCCTCAGGAAAAAAGAAACATTTTCTTCAAACAACTCACAAATAATCTCATAGGATTATTCCTATATAATATATATTTGTTAATCTTGTTCTGCACTGTTATACAATAGAAACACAGATGAATGGCATTCTAAGCATTTAGAAACTTTTACCAAGATAACTGAACGTATCTCTTTTTTTATGTCCATTCTACCCACGGGAAAACTGCTGCATGAAATTTTTTATCACATTGTAACCAAGGGAAGTTTCTGGCTTCCAGCATTTGCCAAGCATTTGATTCAGCAATCTAGTTTTAAACAACAGAGTAGAGGCTTGGGAAATCTATTTTTTATCTAATTTTTTTACCTTGTGAAGATGAAGTTATTGATGGATCCTACAGCCCTAGCAGAATGTCTTCTGCACTACACTGTGTTCCTTAATTTTGGGAAGGTATGGGGGTGGTGGGCCAAGGGCCAAGGGCCTCGGCATGTTACATGGGTAAGACTTTGTATACATACAGGTCCCGCACCCTGCAGAGGAGTAAGCGTATTCCGCCACACGTACGCACACAGCAACCTTCAAAAAGAAGACTGAATGGCATTCCATGCAAGCCGCTTGTTTTCTGCCCTTCTCTCTATTCCATCCATCTCCTTTCCCCTGTGCCCAGGTCCTGAGCCTCCCGGAACCAATCATCCCCACTGTGCGCTCCCAGCGCTTTAACACTGCAACTGCTCATCTGGTCCTCCGGGGCCCTCTGCTACTGGAACCCCAGGATCAGCGCCCCGCCCTCCCGAGTCGTCCCGCCCTCCTCAGCCCAGCCCCGCCCCCTCCCCGCCCTCCCTCTCCAGCCCCGCCCCGCCGCCTCCAGCCCGGCCCTCCCTCTCCAGCCCCGCCCCACCCCACTGCCCCGGTGCCCGCGCGCTCCTTCCAGATGCCCAGGCTTCCAGGTGAGCTCTTCCTTCCCGACCTAGCAGTCTCGCACGCCTCCGCCACAACCCGTCCACCACTCGCCTTTGCTGGAAAATGGGCCGCAGAATATAGGTGTTCTCGGACTCCCCTGCGTTCTTCTCAGTCTCAGGCAACGAGTCAGCCACAGAGAAGGACACACCCGCAGAAAAGGACGCATCTCTCGGGGCGGCCATGGCCAGGACTTCTTGGCCCGATGTGTCTCGCGACGAAGGCCTGCCGGTTGCAGCACGGAGCTGGGAAACGGTTGCCAGGACACCGGGGCCGCCCTTGGCCGTGACGGGACGCGGCGGCGCGCTCTGCGCAGAGCGGCCCGCCTCTCTGCGGACTGTCGCCGCTTCCCCCGCGCCTGCGCACCCGCTGCTGGGCGGGAACTGGCGGAGCGAGAGCGCCGATGACTTCGGCCTAGGTTGATTATCTCCGTCCGGTTTAGAGAACAGTTTAACGCGCGTTGGCTCTTTTATTAACTGCGCTGCAAGCTTAGGAAGTTGACACAGCATGATGCCCATAGAGGTCCCGGGATACCCAGCGAGAGAGCAGTGGGGCCCTGACTCTAATTATGTAAAGGGTCTGCGTACGTGGCCTCCCGGCCTAATCCAGCCCACATCCTGCTGTTATGACTTGTGAACGAGTTTTACATTTTTAAATGATTGAAAACAGTCAAAAGAATAATATTTCATGCCACTTGAAAGTTACAGGAAATTAAAATTTCAGTATTCATACATAAAGTTTTATTGTAACATAACCATGCTCACTTACATATTGTCTATGGCTGCTTTGCTATATTAGCAGAATTGAGCTGTTGCAACAGAGACCGTATGGCCCTCAAAGTCCGAAATATTATCTGGCCCTTTATAGAAAAAATTTGCAGTGCTCTGCTCTAATCCATAACTGCCAACCCACACCCTGCTCCAGTGCAGAAGTCAGAAAGGAGCGGACTTAGGGTGCATTCTCTGCTTATGAGCACCAGTCTCTGGTTCTGTTTTAGAAAGCTGTAGTATCCTGGCCTCTGCTAGCTTCAAAAACTGAGAAAAGCAATTCCCCCAATATCCATCCATCCTGTTGGTTGGATTAACAAGTTCCAAAACTTGCTTATATAAGATGCAAAAGGGATAGTTTCTATAAAAGTATATCGTTGCAAGCTCCAGTAGAGACCAACTAATTTTACTATTCCAGATTTTGGTTTACACAGTGTTTTCTTGATAATATTGCCTGGATTGGTCTTCCTGGCTCCAATAAACTCCTCTCAACCTCATTTTCCCAGTCCACGCTTCACGCTGCCCCAGAATGGTTTTCCTTTGTCACAACTCTGCTTGAAATCTTTTGATGCCTCCTTATGGCTGTGCCCCTAGCATTCGCACTTCTTTGCTTGCAAATAAGAACCTTCCTCTTGGCGCTGGCCAGCAGACTGGGGTCTGTGTAAGGGCCACAGGGGCAGGCGTACACCCAGCGTCGGCTCAGTGCTGCCTCAGCCACACCCTCTTTAGCAGCCCTTTTGTTCAGCAGCACCAGCCCCATCTCTGGCTGGGGTGGTGCAACCACAGCCTACCTGGCACAAGAGTCCAATGTCTCCCACGGACAGATAGTATGTTTTCTCCTTGCTGTTTCACCAGCTTTAAGAAATTATACTCCTAGCACACAGACGTTTCCTCACTTTTTATTATTTCTTCAACTGTGTTTCTCTCACCCAATCTACTGTGGTCCAACTAAAAACCCAGACAATTCGGTGTGTAATTCAATAAATATTTAATTATACCCTCTATTCTCGGGGCTGGAGATACAAAAATGAATTGTCAACTTAAAAGGCAAATTCCCCAGTTCTTTTACCCTCAAAATGAGCTTATTCAGGAATAGCCAAAAGAATCACAATTTGGGATGTGCATGCAGTGGGGAGTAGGGATGGCTGTTCTAAAGGAAGACCTACTGGGAGAAAGGAACAGTTCAGGGTGGCAACGGCTTCTCATTGGCCAAGCTGCGGCATTTCTCATTGGCTGGGCTGTTGTGAGTGCAGAGAGAAATCTACCTATAGTAATAGTTTTACTTCCTGTTAAAGATGCAAGTGTCTCTCTCTTCCTGTTTGGTATAATTGATGATGTGTGATAGGATGTGAGAGCTCCCCCTACAGGCCTTCCCAACTCCAATTTAGTTAAGCTTTCTTTTATTAATTTCCGCACACTAAAACCCAGGGCTTGTGCTAAAGAATGAACAGATTTGGCTGGGACACAGTGGACCAAAATAATTATTACTAAATAGAGTTCCACTTAACAAAACAGAAAGCTGAAGGACAACCTATTCCAAAGAAGGACCTACTTTTCTCTGAGCGGCATTATAAGCAAGGCACCATCTTCTTCATTCCAGGATAATATTCAAGAAGGCACACGCAAGGTAAGGGACAGACAACGTTTCTTCTTAATAAAAAGTTTACTTAACACCATTCTGATGAACAGACTAGCATCAGCCCCTCTGCCCAAAACTTGGTTGGAAGCCAAGCCAAGAGCCAACTGTAGCTTTTGTTTGGGGAGAAAAAAACCAGGTGAAAGCCCCTTCTGAGTGTGAGGTGATCCTGGGATGTAGGTAGAAGGAAGGGGATGCAGGTACCCTCTGGAATCCTACAGAGGGCAGCCAACAGCCAGATGTGAAGGGCTACCCGTCCGAGGTAGAATGAATGCAGAACTCCCTCCCCTCCCCTCCCCTCCCCTCCCCTCCCCTTCCCTCCCCTCCCCTCACCTCTCCCCTCCTCTCCTCTTCTCTTCACTCCTCACTTCTCTTCTACTCCCCTCTCCCCATGGCCTCTCCAAGGCCCTCTCCCTTCCCCCTGCTTCTAGGGCCCTAAGTTGAATTGTGAAGGGAGAAGATGTGTCTGCTGCTCTACTTCATCTCTAGAGTCAGGCACGTTGCACCCTCACCTGGTGGAACTGCACTTCAAACTTGGGGAAGGGGCTGTGAGTTTTACTTCCAAACTTCCATTTTTGATCTTCTTCACTTTGAGATCTATGAGTGTCAGCAGCCAACTGTGGGAGGATTCACCCTAAATGGGCACAATCTGAAGGAGAAAACCATCAGCCTAGGTGGGGAAGAGGTCGGAAACATTGTCCTTTGAAGTCCTGTCAAGTTCTACAGTAACATCAGTCTGAGGTTCCTAAAAGAACGGAGGAGACTCAAGTGAGAAAGAGTCAACTCACCACTGTGAATTGTCTTGGTGCCAAGGACTGACCTCTCTGGCTTTGGTGTCCTGCTGAGCCACCAAAGAAAGTAGGACTGAGCCAGGATGGCGATTGGGAACCTGGCATGTGTGTGAGTGTGCATGTGTGTGTGCCTAACATGTCCAAAACTAGATGCAAATTATCTTTCAATTCTCCATTAATTATGTGGACGTATCAGTACCTTCCCCTGCAGGAAAAGCTTCTGTGGTCAGGCACACCCTAGCCAAGACCCTGAAACTAAATCAGCCAACACGAAAGTGTGAGACAGACACAGGCAATGCTTCTTGGACTCTGTATGTGGGTATATGATGTGCTGTCTGGACCTCAGGACTCCCTGCCTGCTCAGGAGGCTGTGCCTCTTTCTGTCCCTGACAGCTCTGTCTGTCCACCTTCCCCACATTGGGCAGGCCTGCTGTGCCAGCAGCTCTGGAGAGGAGAGGGAGGGACCTGACTCCTACAAGCTCTGCTAATTCGACGAACCATGCTCCTCAGCCCTGCTCAGGAGTCCTAGGAGCAGAGGAATTGTTTATACTCTGGAGGCCTTTGGTGATTCAGCAACTCCTCCCTGACCTGGGATAGAGCTGGGGTCCAAGGGATATAGCAGCACCTGGACCCCCACATTTCCTTCCTGGCTTTGTCCACTCTATGGCCCCAGAGCCTGGGGTTCTCTAATTCATTTCCTGGACCTGCCCACTACCTCCTTCCCTGCCAGTACCCATCTTCCTGGTTCTTCCCAGGCTGCTTCCGCCTGCTTCATCCTCTTCCCTATCCATCAGACTTTCCCACCAGGATCTCCTTCATCCCACCTGACTCTACTCACCATCCAGCACCACTTCCTGACCAAAGATCCTAAAGTGGGAGAGAGGGAGGTCCCCTGCTGTCCACATTCCACACTGAAGCAGCTGTGACATCACAGTTCTCCACCCACACACACCATCCAGTGTCTGCTCTGCATGCCTTTGAGTGTTCTGTTTCCTCTACTGGCAAAACCCTTCCTTCCCTCTTTGCTGGGCTAACTATGTCAAGAATCAGCTCAGGGGCCAGCCCAGTGGCGCACTGGTTAAGTTCTCATGTTCCACTTCAGCAGCCCTGGGTCTACCGGTTCAGATCCTGGATGCAGACCTATGCACTGCTTGTCAAGCCATGCTGTGGCAGGCATCCCACATATAAAGCAGAGGAAGATGGGCACGGATGTTAGCTCAGGGCCAGTCTTCCTCAGCAAAAAGAGGAGGATTGGTGGCAGATGTTAGCTCAGGGCTAATCTTCCTCAAAAAAAAAAAAAAGAAAGAAAGAAAGAAAGAATCAGCTCAGACAGAACTGAAGGCTTCCTTGATCTCTCACGGATCCTCTCCTTGGAGGTTCGCTACTTCTCTGAGCTCTCACTGCACCCTGTGTTGATGTCGGACGTGGCCCTGAACATATGACATTCAGATTATTGGTCTATGTGTTTGTTTCCCTTACCTGACTATGAGCTCTTCAAGGACAAGGCAGAGCCCACGGGCAAGGACCGTGTCTCAATCATCTTTGGATGTGTGGCATGCATGGCAGTGCCAGGCACACTAGGGCACACTCAGTGTATACCACTTACTGAACTGCACTGAACACTAATGAAAAGAACACGGGTGGATTAGTCAGCTCGGGCTGCCATAATAAAATACCACAGACTGGGTGCTTAAACAACAGAAATTTATTTTCTAGAGGCTGGAAGTCCAAGATCAAGGTGCCAACAAAGTTGATTTCTACTGAGGCCTCTCTCCTTGGCTTGCAGATGGCCAGCTTCTCGCCATGTCCTCACATGGCCTTTTCCTCTATGCTCGAGTGGAGAGCTCTGGGATCTCATCTTCTTATAAGGACGCCACTCCTACTGGATTAGAGTCCCATCCATGTGAATTCATTTAATCTTAATTAGCTCCTTAAAGGTCCTATCCCCACATAAAGTCACATGGGGATTAGGGCTTCAGCCTATGAATTTTGAGGGCACACAATTCAGTCCATAACAACCAGTGAACTTGAATTTAGAAGATAGGGGTTCAGGTACTGACTTTACCTGAACCGAGGGGAGTGCTTTTGGGCAGCAAGTCCATTATCCTCTAGGAGCCTCAGTTTATCTGTAACATGTGGCCAATTCCACGGAGTTGTTGAGAGGCTGAAATGAGATCATGGCTGGAGAATAAGTTATGGACGTATAAGTTCCTACAAAATAATAATGACTTAATTATCCCTTCTTCTAACATATCATCTTGCATTTTACAGTGTGACTTAAAATGCATTCTATTATTCAATACACGTCCAAGGAATTATCACTGTTATTATTACTACAGAAATACCTAAAAGGGAAGCTTGTTTATAATTCATACCCACTACTTGCAGAAAGAATTCGAGGCAGCTTATAATGAAACACTCGTGCATGAAAGGGCGTTACCTGTCACTCCTCACAGAGGCTGCAGAAAAGGCCCAGGAAGCTGTTGACGAAATGAATGACCACCAGGAGAATCTGGAGGACGCTGATGCACAGAAGGGTGGAGAAGAAGGACACATGCCAAACGACGGCTTTAGACGGCTCCAGGCAGACAGAGTTCCAGAGTGAATGGTCATACAAATAATTCCTAGCCCAAAAAATACGGACACCAGGAGTTGAGGAATAAGTAAGCAAAGCCAAATAAGCCACCTGAATAGAAAGCTGGGGCCTTCCCCAGCTCAGGTCATAGAGCTCGCCTCTTGAGGGTGACTATTACTGCTGCATTTGCAATTTTCTGAGAATCAGAGGATAGAGATGCTAGAATGCATGACCAAAAGGAGTTTGTAGTCCATCTGTGTGTCTTTGTGTCTTTTTCTCTTTCTCTCTCCAGAAAGGCTACAAATCCCAGTCGCCATCCATTTACCTGGTATGCAGGTCTTTGAATGGGTAACCATATTTCCAAGGTTGCGTCTGATTGAAGGATGAGACATCAAACACGCAAAAAGGACCATCTTTCAGGGCTGCTCCAGAAGTGATAAAGCAAATCAAGGCTCCAAGCAAAGCCAGGCCACTTGACAACAGAGCAGTGAGCATCTGCAGAGGGAGAGAGGAAACACTGAGCCTGAGATGGGGTTGTGACTAGATGACTTGTGGGGCGATCTGGACCAGTCTAACTTGTCTGGTGCTTGGGTTTCCCCCCATCATATCACATGGGGATAATCCTACCCATGGCGCCTCCTTTAATGCATAACTAAGGTGGGGTGGCTGATGAGGGGTCACTGGGTAGAGCCAGGAAGGGGTGAGGAGAAAGGACTGAGAATGGGGAAACACTGGCTCTTGGATCTGGATCACCCTGACTCAGCAGGCTCTTGGGAGCCTCTCAGCAGGTTGGCATCAAAAGCTTCTACACCCAGGGGCTGGCCCCGTGGCCGAGTGGTTAGGTTCGTGCGCTCCGCTGCAGGCGGCCCAGTGTTTCGTTGGTTCGGATCCTGGGCGCGGACATGGCACTGCTCATCAGGCCACGCTGAGGCGGCGTCCCACATGCCACAACTAGAAGGACCCACAACGAAGAATATACAACTATGTACTGGGGGGCTTTAGGGAGAAAAAGGAAAAAAAATAAAGTCTTTAAGGAAAAAAAAAAAAAGCTTCTACATCCAGACTGCAGTCGTTCAGCCTCAAGGTTAAAGGGTCAGAGTGGTTATTGCATGCCCACGTCTGACTCTTTTAAGGGAAAGCTATATTTTCAAAAGTTCCTAGCTCCCATCCCAGATTCCTCTCTTTCTCAAATCAAGCATGAAAGGAAGGAAGGGAGAAAAGAGGGTAGGAAAGAAAGGAGGGAGGGAGAGACAGAAATTGCACTCAACTCTGAAATGACTCCATTGTCATTGACTTCTGTCATTGTACTTTTCTAGTCTTTGTACCACTCACTTCCCTCCCGAAAGATAACAATGAGTTTATTTCCTTGGCAGGATTCTAGTTTGCTTCCAAATTGGCTCCTTTCTCAGGATACTAGATTTTTCCCCAAAGAATACGTATTTTAAGAATTTAAATAAAACATATATATAGTTTTCATACAGAATCAGAGTCGTTTTCTCACTGATGTCAATCTGCTTTGGAGCTTGGAAGGGGCCAGAGAAAGGTACATTGTAAGTTCTGACTCTAAGTTAAAAGATTCAAAATGAATTAGTCTGGTAAGCCTAGGACAGTGGTTCTCAAAATGTGGTCACAGTTCCAGCAGCATTGCATCACTTGGAAACTTGTTAGAAATGCAAATTTTCCGGCTCCACCCCAGACCTACTGAATCAGAAAGTCTGGGGGTGGAGCCCGGCAATGTGTTTTCACAATCCCTGCAGGGATGTTGATGCACACTCTAGTCTGAGAGCCACTCGCCTAGGGGAAAACCAGACGTGACTGAGAACAGATAGTGAATGAAATGTGTGGGTGTTTATATTTAATTCTTTAACATATAATTCTGAATCAGTGGAGTTCCCAATATGTGGGCTGCAGATAACAAAGCAGGCTGCAGAGTTACTGTAAGGGGACCACAAATTCATGTGTCTGAGACTGAGTAAGCAATATATCTTATCATATATGTGCTGAGATTTTTCAAATATATATAGATGCTGCTTTAATTAATAAAGTGCACATTTATTCTGGGCCTCAGTGTCATTATCGGTAAAACAGAGGAGTTAGACTAGAATCTAGTCATTAAATGACCTCTGGAGAACCTTCCAGCTCTAAGAAAAATAGCCAGGAAATTCTCTATCAATGACACATGATTACAGTGTACATAATTCATGTCCAAATTGTTCAATAGGCTAAAAAAGAAATAATAACAGCTATTCACATTTATATAGACATTTATGGTTCATTAAGCACTTACTCCCTTGACTTGATCCTGTTAACTCCCATTTTACAGATGAGCACCTGAGGCTCAGAAAGGTTGAGCAACTTGCTCAACAGCTTAGGGTTATTAAGGGGCATGGTCAGGACCTCACTTCAAACTCCAACATGGAAATTGTCTCTTTACCACTCGCCTCTAAATAGAAGGTGGGGACATTCTAGGTATTAGGAGAGTGGAGTCTGGTGCTTACCCTTCGGCAGGGCCCACTCTTCCTGAAGCAGCCATATCTCCAGCCCGTCAAGGAGATGAGGGTGGCTGCAGTGAGTACCTGGGACAGGAGAAAAGAGTGTTAAGAAGAGATTGGGTAATTTACATTTCTAGCTGCCACCTGTGGCTGTTGACATACAGTGGTGGGGCACCTCACGTGGACTTGATTATCCTGTCTTTCCCAGAGAGTTTGGCTTTGACTGTCAGGACCCAATTTTGGATGACTAGGCTAATCTGACTCTCGGGATGGCATCGTTCACACCCAGCCTTGCCTAGTGCCAAGCCAAAAACCCAGCAATCCTTGACAAGTCTTCCTAGAGTCTCCCATGCCTTGGAGCTGCTGTAGACATAAGACCAGCTTGTTAGATCAAACCTTTTTGCAAGGAATCAGAACACTCCTCCTTCCCCACCTCCCCGCTCCTCCCCAGGGGGCACTTTGGGAGTTTGCACCCAGGGAACCCTGGACACTTACCATGAGGCCTGCTCCCCAGAGCCCAGTGCCCAGCTTGGCATGCTTGCCAATGAGGCCCCTCAACAGGTAGGTGACATCCCAGTTAGGAAAGAGGAGCACCACGTTGGCCCCAGCAGCAAATAGAGCTGTAGTCCCGAGGCTCAGTCCCAGGATGCAGGAGCAGGTCCGTGAGCATGCCATCATGCAGGGAGGGGACAGTGTCCTGGAACCAATGGAAGGAGGGTCATGGTAGCTCTGCTGTTAGGAGCATGGATTAGGGGAACTGCTGTAGCATAGGATGGGGTGGGCAAAACAGACTACAGATACTGTCACCTCCCAGAGTTAGATCAAGAGGAGCCAAGGAACTTGTTTAAAAACTCTGCCTCTTATAAATATTCCCCAATGGATATGACTTAATTGCTCCATTTTCTGCCAATCTCCGTTCACACAGACACACTCCTCATCCCATCATATTTTGCTTGTACCTCTATGACAGCCAGTGATTATTTCTATTTAATTTGCAAATTAAAACCAAAATAAGATACTACTACACATCCACTGGAATTGTTACAATTAAAAGGTTGGACTATAGGGGCCAGCCCAGTGGCATAGTGGTTAAGTTCATGTGCTGCACTTTGGTGGCCTGCAGTTTGCAGGTTTGGATCCTGGGTGTGGACCTACACACCACTCATCAAGCCACACTGTGGTGGCATCCCATATACAAAGTAGGGGAAGATTGGCACAGATGTTAGCTCAGGGCCAATCTTCCTTACCCCCCCCCAAAAGAAAGTTGGACTATACCAAGTGATGGTGAGGATGTGGATCAACTGGAACTCTCATAGGTAGCTGGTGAGAATGCAAATGGTACAAACACTTTGGAAATTAGCTTAGCAGTTTCTTATAAAGTTAAATATTTGGTAACCAATTGATCAAGTAATTCCACTTCTACATGTTTATCCAAGAAAAATGAAAACACACATCCACACAAAGGCTAGAACTTGAATGTCCATAGTAGCTTTATTCATAATAACTAAAAATTAGAAATATGGAAACAACCTAAGTGTCTACCAACAGATAAATGGATAAACAAAATATGGTATATACAGACAATGGAATAGTATTCGGCCATAAAAAGGAATGAAGTTCTGACACATGCTTGAAAACATTATGCTAAATGAAACAAGCCAGACATTAAAGGACAAATATTGTATGATTCCACTTATACGAAATATCTAGAATTGGCAAATTCATAGAGACAGAAAGTAGATTAGTGGTTACCAGAGGCTGGGGTTGGGGGAGGAATGGGGAATTATTGTTTAATGGTTACAGAGTTTCTGTTTAGGGTATTACTACTAGGTAATAAAAAGAATGAACTACTGATACATGAAACAACATGGATGAATCTCAGAGGCACTGTGCTAAGTGAAAGAAGCCGGAAACAAAAGACTGCTCACCATGATTCTGTCTATATGAAATTCTAGAAAAGGCAAAATGAGTGACAGAAAGCAGCTCAGTGGTTGCCAGGGGCTGGGAATAGGAGAGGGGATTAATGCAAGGGGCATAAGGAAACTTTCTGAGGGGATAGAAATGTCCTATATCTAGATTCTGGTGATGAATACACAACTATATGCATTGACAAAACTCATCAAACTGTACCCTTAAAATTGGTGAATTTTTTTTGATTTAGAGATTATAGCCAAGATGGCGCTGTGAGTAGTCCTCTTTGTCTCTCCCCCTTCGAGCCTACAATTATTTGAACACTCATCGCTTAACAAAGGATATCCAGACAGCATCTCAGGACGTCTGAGAGACCCACGCGACTATACATCAGAAGGCGGACGGACTTCCCTCCGGGAGGAGGTGGAGATAGGTGAAAACTCTCCAAGCCCGACCGAACAGCCTAGTACCTGCAAGCGGCTTTCTTCCAACAGACACCCCCAGAAGATCAACACACACCTAGGGCAGGAGCGAGCACACACCAGAGGAGCAACGGTGGAAACAGGTGACCAGAACCCTACCTAAACCCCCAGCAATTACTCCTAAACGCAGAGGGAAACTCTAGAGTTACACACCTGAGCCCGTGGGGAGAGTCTCGCTCCGCCATTGCCGGGGAGATCCCGCCTAGTGTTCACGGTGCCCGGAGGGTCCCAGAGAGAATCACTGAGGGTACGGCGGCCCCCCGGCTGCCACTGCCTGCACGGTGGGGAAAGGGATTGCCGGAGATCTTGGAGAGGACTGGGGCTGGGTGAAGCTCCAGAGGCGGCTCCGTGCCCCGGAGGGGAAGCTCCAGAGTTCTGCCCGGGCAGCAGACAAAACTGTCTGTCTGCCATTAGCGGAGGGGCCACTCCCAGCATCCACAACTCCGGGAAAGTCCTGGAGAGAATCCCAGAGGGCGAGGCCACCCCCAGCTGCCATTGCCCGCCCCGTGGGGCTAGGGATTGCCGGAGATCTCAGAGAGGACTGGGGCTGGGGGAAGCTCCAGAGGTCAGCTCTGCGGCCCAGAGGGGAAGCTCCAGAGTTCTGCCCGGGCAGAAGATAAAACTCTCTGTCTGCTATTAGTGGAGGGGCCACGCCCAGCATCCACAACACCAGGAGGGTCCCGGAGAGGAGAATATCAGGCAGGGCAGCAGCTGACCAGCTACCACTGAAATCAGGATCTCTGGCTATCCCCCAGACAGGGCAAAGGGCTCCCCGAGTTCCTGGGGAACAGGACTGGGGCTGGGTGGAGTTCCAGCGACCCAGCTCTGTAGCCTAGGGGGAAACCCTACAGGCTCACAGCAGCCTCAGGGAAAGCCTCTGCACAGCACTAGTAGAGAGCACCCATCCGGCAGCCACAAGGCTGGAAAACCCCGGGACAAAAGTAGCATAGCTAGGTGAGCTAACCACAGACTGTAGAAGATGCCAATAGCTCAGCTGTGACCCATAGTGGACAAGTGAGATTTTGTGGGTGCCGACAGTGACAGAGCGGCAAATATAAGTGATCCTACCCCTGGCTGCTGGAAAAGCCCATAACACAGTTGCAGACCCCAAGGAGGGAGCACGTCTAGGTGGGCTGCAACAGTAGGCACCAGCAGCCTGAAGCCCCCCCGTGACAGCCCCCACGGCAGAAGAGGGAATCCAAAGGACCACTGTGACTACGAGGAGGGGCCCAGGCCCAGTTAGCAACTGCGGATAGGGTTCCTGGTTGGTGCAGTATAAACAGCTGCTCCCCCACCACACCAGCAGAAACAAGTGAAAGGAGCAACTAAACTCTATCTCTATGCGGAGGCACAAATCTACAACATCAAGCAATATGAAAAAATACATTAAATCTCCAGAACAGAAGGAAAATAACAAATACACAGAAAACAATCCCAAAGAAAATGAAATATATAACCTAAATGACGATGACTTCAAAACAGCCATCATTAAAATACTCAATGAGTTAAGAGAGAATTCAGATAGACAACTCAACGAGTTCAGGAGCTATGTCACAAAAGAGTTTGATACGATAAAGAAGAACCAAACAGAAATACTGGAAATGAAGAACACAATAGAGGAGATTAAGAAAAATCTAGATGCACTGAACAGTAGGGCCAATAATATGGAGGAAAGAATTAGCAATTTGGAAGATGGGAATATAGCAATGCTGCAGGCAGAGGAGGAGAGAGAAGTAAGACTAAAAAGAAATGAAGAAACTCTCCGAGAATTATCAGACACAATTAGGAGATGCAACGTAAGGATTATAGGTATACCAGAGGGAGAAGAGAAGGAGAAAGGGGCAGAAAGCCTATTCAAAGAAATAATGGCTGAGAACTTCCCAAATCTGGTGAGAGAGATGGATCTTCAGGTAACAGAAGCCAATAGATCTCCAAACTTTATCAATGCAAGAAGACCAACCCCACGGCATATAATAGTGAAGCTAGCAAAAGTCAATGACAAGGAGAAAATACTAAGGACAGCCAGGCAGAAGAAACTAACCTACAAAGGAACCCCCATCAGGCTATCAGCAGATTTCTCAGCAGAAACTTTACAGACTAGAAGAGAGTGGAATGATATAGTCAAAAATCTGAAGGACAAAAACCTACAGCCGAGAATTCTCTACCCAGCGAAAATATCCTTCAAATACGATGGAGAAATAAAAACTTTCCCAGATAAACAAAAATTAAGGGAGTTCATTGCCACAAAACCTCCTCTTCAGGAAATCCTCAGGAAAACCCTCATTCCTGAAAAATCAAAAAAACGAAAGGGGCTACAAAACCAAGAGCAGAGGAGATAGGTAGAAGGACAACAACAGAGAGTAGCAGCTCTACATCAGAACAGATTAAACCATGGGACGAGAAACAAAGGAAATTGAAGAAAACTGGATAACAAGACATAAAATGGTAGTGGTAGGCCCCCACATCTCAATAATCACTCTAAATGTAAATGGATTGAACTCCCCAATCAAAAGACACAGAGTGGCAGGATGGATCAAAGAACAAGACCCAACAATATGCTGCCTCCAGGAAACACACCTCAGCCCCAAAGACAAACACAGACTCAGAGTGAAGGGATGGAGAACAATACTCCAAGCTAATAATGAACAAAAGAAAGCAGGTGTCGCTATACTAATATCAGACAAGGTAGACTTCAAAGCAAAACAGATAAAGAAAGACAAAGAGGGACAGTATATAATGATAAAAGGGACTCTCCACCAAGAAGACATAACACTTATAAATATATATGCACCCAACACAGGAGCACCAAAATTTGTAAAGCAACTCTTAATAGAACTAAAAGAAGACATCAACAACAATACAATAATAGTACGGGACCTCAACACACCATTAACACCAATGGACAGAACATCCAGACAGAAAATCAACAAGGAAATAATAGAATTAAATGAAAAATTAGACCAGATGGACTTAATAGATATATATAGAACACTTCATCCAAAAACAGCAGGTTACACATTCTTCTCAAGTGCACATGGAACATTCTCAAGGATTGACCATATTTTGGGAAACAAAGCAAACATCAATAAATACAAGAGAGTTGAAATAATATCAAGCATCTTTTCTGATCATAATGCTATGAAACTAGAAATCAACTACAAGAAAAAAGCAGAGAAAGGTGCAAAAATGTGGAGACTAAACAACACGCTTCTGAACAAACAATGGATCATTGAAGAAATTAAAGAGGAAATCAGATTTTATCTGGAGACAAATGAAAATGAGAACACGACATACCAAATCATTT